CGAGAGAATGACTCAGCAAAACGGTAAGCCAGTCAGTAAGTAAGCTTGTCGGTGCTGCCCGATTCAAGACAATCTCAAACAGCCGGAAATCCCGAAACTCTGCAACGCCGATGCCAGGAGCCACCCTAGCTACTACACTGCAAGGAGTGTGGTCGTATGGTGATACTGAAGTTCTAGCAGAAGGAGCCTCAACATGTTAGCCAAAAACTCACTCAAGGAGGCCACTCATTGATGGAACGCCATGTGCAACTGCTATTTCTTTTGACCCAGCCCCGAGCCCTAGATCCCATGGCTTCTATCTAAACCTCTGCATGCAATGTTCTCTCTCAATGCAGGGCAAGGCTCCAGCGACCAATCAAAGACTTGCAGTTGATCTATGTCGTAGTGTCCCAGCACCTAGATGAATGTTCCAGGGCTACCTGGTCTGTAGTTATTTGTTCTGAGGCATTCAAAAGATGAATATGGTGACCCGGCGACCCATCAATACATGCCTCGGTCTTGCATCGCACTTCGATTCTAGCATTGACTGCCTTGGTGTTTCGGATTTTGGATCATCTCAGTCTTGCAAATGTTGGGATGATTTTGAGTGGGGTCAGGCGCAGTCGCATCTTGGGGCAGTCTGTGTTTCAGGCAGGGTTGGGGTGTAGAGCTGCGGTAGGCAGCAGCGTGTCAGGTGGCTGATGAGTGTCTCTTGGGTCAACACTGGCGTGCTAGCTTTGCATTGTAATTAGGTTGCAAGCACTCTTGGTCTATAGCTCAGGGTGCCCAGTACGAGCAAGGATTCCCAGATTGCTCATAATATTGGCAACATCAGACTGCACTGCAAACACCACAAGAGCAAAAGGCCGAGAATTTGGGAACACTGTGTGACATAATGCAGCCCATGCGCACCTACAAATGTTGTTTGGTGCTGGTTATGGGTGTAGCCGGTTTAGCTATAGCAATGACCTGGCAATGACCGATTGGATCGAATACTCTCGACGAAACAACTTGCAAGATCCACCTTCTTGGTGCTCGTGCAGTTTAGGGCTTTAAAACTAAACACACTGTAAAGGCTTGGTGGTGAACCCCTACAGCCCGTCCGTTTGAAACCTTTGTTAACCTGTTCAGTACCACGCCAAAACCTGATATAGCGCACGAGCCACAGCGAACACTAAAGGCATGAGCGGGGATGAGACAGGAATGTCACAACGCGGGCTACATGTCCTTAGAGACGTTCAGGGCAGGAGTCCCACATACAAGTGGACCGTTCCGTCTAGCTGGCATGGGAATCTGTCCAACAAAGGCAGCCCGAGTGTCCTGTAAACCGTCTAGAGTCTAGAAGTTTTCTTAAAAACAAGGTTCGCAGGTCTTATTTCATGCAGCCAGGCTTCCGAGCACGCCTGAGAATTGGCTTGGCGGTGTTAAGTTTTGGGAGTTCGTTTTTTCTCGTGGTTGCGGGGGGTTGAAGACGATGATTCAAGAGTTGGACATAGCCCTAGACTCTAGACGTAAGCTCTCTGCTCGTTGCAAAGTCAGAGTTTTAGAGCAAGTCGACGTGTAGGAAACGTGCACGCCGAAATACGCCGAACGCAGAAAACAGCTCTCCATTCATTCCTTGCCACGAATACATCAGAATATACACTGCTATAATATGCTATACATAAGCGTCACTGTTGTTTAGTATACTCTTATTCTCATCTGTTAAAGTACGGAAAACAACATGTCCGGGACCCCCTGGCAAAAATGATTATGTCGCAACGGGCACGCAGGATCGACCGCTTTGCTATCAGTGTTGAATCATTGCATGAAGGCCGATACTGAGCAAACGACGCAACCCGAAGAGCCCGGCCATTCCCAACTCCATAAGCATGCAGTGCGGTAGAACGTAAAGCAGGGAAAAGCCGTCCAACAGCGCTGTCACAACAAATCTCTAACACTCGCAACCCTTAAGCCCGAATCCACGCGCTGCACTTCTCAAGAGCTGTCTGTTGGATCTCCTATAGTCCAACGCTTCTGGTCCTTCACCAGTTTCGCATCCTACTCTCCGTCAGCCTTTGTGGTCCTGCTGCTCCAGCAGGCTTAGAGCTGTGGAGTTTGCGGCCGGCATTTTGTTTGCCTTTGGCTACCAGCACGGCTCATGCAGCCTGCGCAAAGCCTGCAGACCCCCGGCAAAGATTCCACGTGGCGACTCGCTAGGTCCGCTAGGTGCACCTCTCCGAGCTCCACAATCCAATTGGAAGCCGCGAGGTCAGCCGGAGCAAACCCCGCAAGCGGGGTTTGCGCCGCCTGGTGCTGTCACTGCGGTACTTCGCCAATGGCTCGCCCTGCACGAGCTTGCCGCTTGCTGTGGCGACTTGGGTTCCTCATTTTTTTCCAACGTCCAATGCCTACCGCCCAAAATTATGTGGAGTGGAATCGCCGCATGCATCTTGATAAGAACGGGAATTGGTCAGTGTTTCCCCGTGACGGCGATGCAGACTGTCTTCAAACATCGCCGGGGGGGTGTGCTGCCCAGCCGCAGGGAAGGAAGGATTGAACGAAGCGAATCAGACTCGCCGAGTATCCCGTCTTGCTGCTGAATCCTCCTTCGCTTAGCCCGCCAGTGCTCCTGTTGTTGCTTCCTTCCTTGGTTTCTTCCTTCCAAACAGAGTTGGGGGGCTGGGCCATTCGATGCCATTCGGTGTTTTCGCTCTTCGGCTACCAGGTCTACTTTTGAAAAGGGTCCTAGGATACCCAGTAACCTAAGAATAAAAAAGGCATCTCTTTTTGGTATTGGGTAACTTTATAAGGAACCTAGGACTACAAAAAAGGAATAAGGGTACTACTGGGCATCCTAGGGTCTGTAAGATCCGTAGACAGGTTAGGCCGCACATGGTTGAACAACATCACAACATAATGGGGTGTGCCAGCCTCAAAGCCCAGGGATGCAAGTATGTTTCCTTTGCACCTGGGGCACAAGGATGCCTCGATTACGACGGGTTTCCTCAACCTCATCACACGTTCCCAGCTGTCAACCAAACTACAAACACTAGGGCATGAAATTCCTTGGCCCAACGAACCAGAGACATCACGACTTGAATCTAAAACCCTAAGACCGTGGACTCGGGCATCTAAGGCCTAGATAAGCAGACAGGATCCGATTAGAAACGCACTTCGGGGCCGCACCTTCCTTCCAAATCTTCGTGCAAGCGTAGGGATATGGTTAGCCTAACCCTCTTGCACATGCGCCTTTTCCTGCGAATTGCATATTTTTCATCTGTGTCGGCGTGAGATTTCTTTTGTTTCTTTGCGGTTATCGCGTGTTTTGACAATCGGAGCAGCTTCCTGGCATTTCAACGCGATGTTCTCGCTTCCAGGAGGCACCTACCCGAGTATGCACAGGCACGGGGTCAGCAAAGCCGCCGCGGTGGTGCATCGACCGCAGGATCGCGGGGAAGAAGCAAGGGGAATCCGAATGAAGTAAAGTCTGCGCCCTGTTTTGCTTGAACTACTTGCAAAGATCAAGCTCGCAGGCGCGTGGAATCAAGGCCGATATCGTGGCCGTTGGGAAAGATCTGCGGGCCCACGACATCGGACAGTCTCAACAAGCGTGGAAGGCTACCCTCCAGAGAATCTACAGAATCTCAAATATCTAAAGGAAGCAAGGATTGAGTGAACCAGAACGACTTCGCGGAGTAAAGTTTGACTTAATTGGAAGACATTTTGCTCCTTGCAAGGCGCGGAGGGCCGCCCTCGAGTGCTGAAGCGGCAGGTCGACTTGAGCCAAAATGCAAATCCCCTCCTCCATCTCTGTATCTCGTCTTCTCACCAACCTCGAAACTCCAAAGTTGAACGTTTTCGTAATTTGAGACCCGGCGGCTGTCATGAACTGGGTGCCGATTCGGATCATGCTCGTATGCACACCTTGCAAAGAAGCAGCTTTTGTATAGACCGTTGCTGAATGTAGACTTTGTATTGATACCGTGTCCCTGCACGTGCGCGCAGGTTGCACTGTTGATTCTATTGCACACGAAACAATTTTGAGCTCTGTAAAACTTCAAGAGTCGCATGGAGGCCGCATTGTGACTAAGTCTCAGTACCACAAGAGTGTCTTGTCGCTCAAACTTCACGCGTCCCGGGATCCGGTTATACTCTCGCATCTGGGACAGCTACGGGCGAAGTGCAGTTTCTTCCGAGTATTGGGCGCAGGGCGAGAGATTGGAGCTCTTCGGCTCAGGTTTCAAGTGCCTGGAGGAGTTTTTGGAGGAGTTTTGGGGTGGTTGCGAAACCCGAGGCCCGAGACGGTGTCCAAGTGTACAAACCCACAAGAAGACATGAACAGCCCAGTGGGTTGCTTGCTCACGGATGGCGAAGGTTCAACTGAAAGTAGTGTTTGAGATGAGGTTGAACAGACTGAACAAGACACGAACGCTGCAGACCACCACTATTTGCGAACCTTCAAAAGGATGAATCCATGTCCCACGCCGAAAGCACAAGCTTGCAAACAAAGCACTGCGGCTGTCCTTCACCTTGGTTGCTGGATTTGCTGGAAGCTTTGGGCTTGGGGGCATAGCTTGAGTGCTTTGCCGTTTGATGAATCACTCCTCGGCCGATCCCTTACTCCAGACATGCCCCACACGTCCGTGCCTCAAGCTTGTGGCCGAGCATTGGGTTGTGGTTTGAAACATGAGCTCAAGGGTTGGACCACACCCCGTGGCTAAAGAAAAGGGGCACTGTTGAGACAACGACTCTTACGTGATTTACGGGCCATTAGAGTACATGTATTGGGCAAGAAATTCAAGCCAAGCCACAAAAGGTGTGCAATGGTGCTGAAGCGCCGCGGACAGGGCGTTGAATCGTGAACTAGTGCCCTCGCTGCAAATCGTCCCCACATCCAACTGCCCCAACCCAAGACCCAATAATCAACATATGTTGAACCCTCGAATTTCAACTCCCGCTTAGACGTTGGAAACCTAACATCTATCATCTAACATATCAAAACGTAAGGGAAAGATTGACGTCATCGCAGCCAAAGTCGCCGCTGCCATGGCGGCCAAGGAGGCCACGGCGAAGTTAATGAGGATGTTTTGAGCGATGTCCGTGAAGACAACCAACTTGCAATTCCAGGGGTGGGGATGGGTGGGGGCTTAGGGCACCGGGCTGTCGCAGTCTCTGCAGGCCGATCCAACGACTGCAAATCCAAGCAAGCTACACAGGTCCTCACTGACACAGTCGTCAGCAGACTCTGAACACTTGACACCTCAATTCTAAATCCGAACTACACCGAACAGTTGAAGGCAGCTGAGAAGCTCCCATCCAGCTGAATGATGAACGGCATTCCGAGCAGGCATCTGGGTACCTCAACAGCTCCGGACTGTCACACTGGTTAAACTTTACCAAACTCGGAAACAAACTGACTAAGCAAGGACTAGGCGGTTTGATCAAGCTGTATTCGTCGAGGCTTTGCTTCGACTCGGCCTATATGATCCTTGAGGCGGATAACTGGCGATGAGCTGACACTAACCATGAAGTAAGTGCCGGCTTATTCAATCAGTGGACTGATTGAACACACGAGCCAAGGAATGGTGGCTTTTCTCCAAGCGAGGCCACTGAATGCCAATGATAAGTCTAGTGGCTAGTCTGCTCATTCAGCGAAAAACTGAATGCCCAAGTTCATGCAGCAAGGTACCCCAGCAAATCGGATGCTTACTCTGAAAAACCAGGCGAAGAATGCTACTTGGTTCCGTGAACTGCTTCATGACACGGTTCAACTGGAAAACGAGCGTCGTGAAATCCAAATACTGCTCTTGTGACAACATCTGAACAGTAATCGCTTCTGGTGCATTCCCGTGCTGTGGAACTCAAACTGCCCTGCATCGAAAAATCTTCCAGAAGTGCTACCGTCCCTGTTTAGCTTAGTCGGTTGTGCACTTTCCCCATGCACTGCGGCATTCCCTGGAATGGCATGTGCTGAACTGTCTTCACGTTCTCAATACCGTACCTACTTTCACCAGTACAGACTTGCACCCACACGGCGTTACAACAGCTGGTGTTTCGAATTCCTTGATGTGCCAGTCAGCTAAACCTACAAGCATCTTGCCGATGCGTTGCTCCAAAAAACAACGAACCTCAGCTTGGCTCTCAAATTTCTCACACATATGATATCTCATGCACTTTCCCGACAGCACTCATTCTATCTCAATCCGCCGAACATCACTAAACCGACCAAAGCGTCTGGTTTCGTGAGAAACCGGGCGGGCAAGAACCACAAAGGAAGCCGGTGGAGCCTCTTGCAAGCTGGGATGCGGGTCTAGGACTCAGGATACTTAGGATCTGAGTGGTTGCGTCGATGCGAGTATAGCTCAGGTTGGGTGTGCGTCAGTTCTTTGCAGTCAGACTTTCCCGTAACGAGTGACGCACCTATGTTGGCTCCGGAGCCCAACGAAATTCTACAGTGAAGGCCCAAAGTGTCTGGCCAAACCCAGGAGGTAAAGCAGGGATCTGGCAGGGATCTGCGGACATAGTATTCTCAGTACCATCCAAGCCCAAGTTCTGGACGTGTAGATGTTGCCTACCTGGCGACGCTACTTCCCGAACTAATAAGAGCCTGGAAGATGGAATGGAAAGGCCTGCTCCCCAAAACTAAGGAGTCCAGAGTGCGGACACTTGGACTGTTTCTTATGCAGTCGCAAATGTACACGCAGTTGTTGCGGTTAACCACACTGCCCTGCAAGGCCTTCCGCGCATTCGTTTCCTGGAGGGGCGCTCACGGTTCGTTGCCGAAACTTGGCATAAGGCATAAGTGTGTCTTGGCTCACATTCGTTCGTACGGGAACTCAAACAACTGCCGGGGTTCTGTATCTGTGCCCATCTGCTCTTCCGTCATGTTAGCTTGTACTAGTCGCGCCGTGCGTTCATGCATGCATGCATTCCACTTGCACTCTGCCATGGCTTCACCAGGCCTGCACGCTGATCCTTCCGCCCTTCCATGCCCCTAGCAGTCTTACGCATGCCGAAGAGTTGCCCATGCACGGTGTCCTCCAAGGCAGACAGATTCACCTCCCAGGAAGAAAACCTGGCCAGGACTGCAAACACGAAGAGAGCACAGCGAGAACGAGAGAAAAACAGCGGGGGGGGAGGAATGCAGGTGTGTACATGAACATAAATGCCTCCTCCTCTCTCCACCACGATCCATATCATGATTGCTGAAGAAAGGAATGGAGCAAAAAGGACACTTGCAGGTTGCAAAAGCATCAGCAGGGATCAAAATGCATCAACATTCCTGAAGACTGAAAGTCTAGACATCAAGTGGGATAAAATCTCACCAAAATTCCCAACATCGGACCCATGGTCAGTCAGGTTTGTGGTTTTTTGGGAAGTTTGATGCCTTTTGATGCCGTCGCACTGCACGCTTCAGGAATTTTAGTGCAGCGACGAAACTTTCGTAGTTTCGAGCTTGGCCGCACTTTTGCCATATGGCCCAAGGCGAACAGCAAAAATAGCAGTGTTGCCAGTTGTTATTGAAGCGTGCCCGTGTTTGCGGATGCTTGAGAAGGTTGATGCAGAGACAAGGGGTCTGTTTAGAGCTCTAAGTCTTCATGAAGAAAGGCATTGCTAAACGTGCAGAACCCCGGCCCTTCCTCGAACAGAGATGAAGAACCTCTCGTATTTCATTTTCCTAAACAAACTACTCTATAGTTCCTCTGATACCGAAATGAAAGAACTCTCGTGGTTCTTCTTCTGGTGGGGAAGGCTCGCTTCCTTCCCTTTCAATATCGCATGACAAAGGATCTTTATTTTGCGGGCCAGCAGATAAGCTCAAAGGCTCTTTTGTTCTGTAAAGATAAATAAATAAATATATATATATATATATGGGTCTTCAACTTGAGTGCGTATACAAACTCTTCCGCTACTTGTGTTTCCTGCATCGGACGAAGTCGTAAATCTAGCAAAGACCAACTTTGCTCAGGATATCCTGGAATTGTTGCCTTGTTTTCTTTCCACCTGTGCCATGAGGCTATGAGGAGAAGAAATGCTATTTCATGTTGTATTGAAGCGTGACATGAGCTCTATAAAATCAAGCAGTTGTGGCGCGGGGCCGTGTTTGTTCGAACCAAGATTTCTTCTGCCTGGATTATGAGACAAGTCAAGAAACGAACGAGTATCAAGCTATCTGAATGAAGCTGCTTCCACATCTCTTATGACATGAACAAAAGCTTTAAGTTGCACGATAGGCACAGCTCTTGTATTCTTGCTGCTCGCACCAGTAGGTGTGAAAACTTTGTGTTTCTTTCTCACAGAAAGAGTTATCTTCTTTCTTATGGTATGATGAGAAGAGCAGCTGTCGATTTGCATTGGGGGCAGAGCTCTTTTCCCTCTAGAGAACACAGGTCATCCAGAAGCAACGGAGCTTTCTTGTGTCTTTTCTAGTTGAGAGTGGCCGACTTTGCAAATGTCCAGAAACAATCGGTATGGCAAACCAAATCCGTTTTGGGTCTTGAATGCTCTTCACAAGTAACACAGTACGTTTAATCAGTAGTGGTAAGTAACGCAGAGACAGCAGGGTGAATACCTTCTTCTATACCTGGGTGACAACAAACAAGGCAAAGACGGTGGGAGAACAGTCGGCAAGAAAGCTAGTTTGGATCATGGGGCGGGTCTGTGACTGTGTACGTTTAAATTTACACCCACATCTGAACCCAAATCCTCAGGACCCATCACAAATTATTTGGCAATGGGAAGTGTGAGTTGTCGACGGCCATCCCCTTCGGTCGCCACCAACCGACCGAGTGACTGACATGTCTTGCTGCCAACATAACTCTGCAGTCGGCAAGCAGAAAATTTAGCGTGTTGAACTAGCTGGAGTTACATGAGCCACTGAGCTACAATACTCCGAGGATATCATTTAAGTGTAGTCGTAAAGGAGGTTTGAGTGTGCTTATAGTTATAGGTTATGAAAGGTTCACCTATTTTTGTCGAATGCTCACACTTCGCTTGAACTACACTGCTTTGCTTTTGAATGCAACGCCTTGCTTGTAAAACTTCCGCTATAATTCACTCAGTTTAGATGAGCCTGAGGCAGCTGGAACAAGTACTAGATCGAGAAATCCTAAGACTGTACCTAGTACTGTTTTTGTTTAGTTGCGCCTTCAGAGATTCGAGGGGCGCTGTTGGGAGGGTTGAAAAGGGTTTAGATATGTCAAAGACCCAAAAGAAACAAAGACATCAACACCAGAAATAAGAGCAGACAGGGTTTGGGTGTCTGTCGAGCTCCCCGAGTCTAGCGACCAATGTAGTAAAACTGGCGACTTACCATGTAGCATTTGCATATCAGATCTATATACGCATATATACATATATACAACATACAAACATCTCTCTCTCTCTCTGTCTCTCTCTCTCTCTCTCTCTCTCTGCATATATATATACACACATACGCAGACATATATGTACACGTTTGTGTCTTTGACTTTCATGTTTTCTTCGTTTACTGGATCTTGGACACTGTGGGCGTGCACTTCATTGTGTTTTGGCCATGCGTAAGTATCTTCGTGCGAATGCACAAGCGTAGAATCGATCGCCTTTGCGATCAAGTGACTACCCTCGTCTGTATTCATATACACGTGAGCTCATGTATTTTGTGTAAGTTTGTCCACTTTCAAGCTGCAACATTCCACAAAGGTGAAGAATGCGTTTAAGCCCGTAAAGCCCGTCCCATGTTTTGGCGCCAGAAATCCAGACTCCAAGTTGATCCGACAGAGATGTTTGGATTTTGGGTTCCGCGCAAGCAGTGACAGGGTCGGTATTGCATCTTTTGGCGTGGAACCTACACCTCCCGAAGCTCTTTCAGGTGTTGATGACTCCTGCAATGTCCCATTGTCGTGTCTGTGGTATTATGGACCAACCGCAGACTGAGGAAATGGCATGTTCAGCTCTCTAGCCAATCGAAAGAGAGCACAGCATGCATCCGTGACGTGATTGCAATTCTCGAAGGCACTCTGTGCAAAGCTGCTCTGGCAGAGCAAAAAAATCTACAAAATATGCAGGATGACAAGACGTTGGCTCGTAGCTACCGCGAACGAAAACGATGCGACTCTCAAGCAAACTGAAACCCGAGACGTGGCCACTGTGCCGTGGATGCAGGCGATATGGACAAAAGCATATCACAGATATCACAGATCAAAGCCAAGCACGCAGTTCGAAAGGGCTCTCGCAAAGCTGCAGAAAACCAAGGAGAACCAATAGATATGCCGTCTTGCAGCAAGCTCCGGGGCACCGCAAGCGATTCAGTATCAGTAGCCGTCATCCCGACAAATTGTTGTCGGCCACTTCATGCATCTTCATGCACACTCGTGCTCGGTAGCAGGCTAGAAACCCTGATTGCCCCCGGCCCCGGCAGCCAACTCAAGAGCCCGCATCAATGCAGGCATTGCAAAGGTCACGTCCACACTCGTCTTGTTACCCTCAAACAAACTCCAAAGACACCCCACATTCGCCAACCTGGCATTTCGCTGCCAGAGTTTCGCCCGTCTGGAAGAACCCGACCCTTGATCGACAGCTTTTTTTAAGGGGCCCGGCCTTGAGGTTGTGGAGTTTAGGAATTCGGGATACGGGTCGACTGTCTGTGTATCTCTGCGTGGTGCGAAGTTTGGGCTGCAGAGTCTGGGGTTTAGTTTGCTGTCTTCGGATCGACTGATTCGAGGTCTGGGATCTTGTGGTGTTTAGAACTCAACTTTTTTTTTACTGAGGCCGCAATTTAGGTTGCTGATCCTTGGCTTTGAGGGCGCTCAACCTTTCTTGACTGGGGAGACCTTACGAAATCCAGGCCCTAATTGTGTGCCGGCTTAAATTAATGATGGATGGCCTGGCGACAAGTGAAGGCTTAGGGCTCACAGGTTTCTGGTTGAGGGGTTCGATGGCCAGCGGATGATGTAAACGTAGTCTTCATTCGCTAAGTGCTTTCGGAGCTTAACACTTTCAGCAACATCAGTGCTTAGTGCGGTTTCTTGGACGTTGTGGAATGGCTAGGTGCACATCTGACAAGAATTTGCTTCAAGCTCGTGCCGGTTCCAGTAGCACGTATTGCTCCATCAAAAGGAAAACCCAAACGCACATGCGTCTCTTCACGGGACGATTGTGGAGCCCGCAAGTCTACACTAGGGGCAACCTGGTAGAGGACTGGCATGGGCTTCCAAGCCTTCAAGCTTGGAATGCAAGCTTTCATCCGAACAGGAACCCGAAGCTTGATATAGCCAGTCGAAGGACTAAAGTTCTTAAGCGCGCGCTGGCCAATAGGCGCGATGCATCCGAGCAACTCCGCAACAGGCTGTCGATGTGCACCAGTGCCTTGCATGGTGATACGATAAGATAATAACCTTGTCCAAACTTCGGAACATGATCCAAAAGCAAGAGGTACTGGAGGGGCCCTGTCTGTTACACGTAGCCATTGGGGTTTCTTGCCGCGTTGCCTTCGGGCAACCTTCTTTACGTAACATAGCGGTAGATCATACAGCCGCAGCCCATCCGCAACAAAAAAGAACGCCGGCACGGCAACACTTAAGACTTAAGACTTGCACAAAAACTGTGGACGTTGATGTCGTCATCCGCTTGGAGTGCAAGTCCAAGCCTCAAACCTCGAGCCCCGGAAATCCCAACACTGCCTGAACGCCTGAACCCTCGCCGGGTTGCTGTCCAAGCCCCCCTGGCAGGTCAGTCCCTTATAGTTGCATCGCGCACAACTCTCCAGCTCCTCCTGTCGTTTCATCTTCTGGCCAGTACGTGTGTGGAGCCGAGACCTATGTAGACCTTCAGAACTGCCGCGAATCGGCGAGAGTTGACAATCGATGAGCAATGGCTACGCAAACGTGACGGATGTACGAGCCAACCATAAAAGCTTGCTGTACAGACCAGAGTGATCTCAAAACCCGAAAACACAACTTTCAAACCATCACCCCCAACGTCGTGGATGGACTCTTGCAGCCCGAAGGAAGTGGAATTTTCGAAGGCCCTTAGCTTTACCCCATCCCCCTCCAGGTCCTGGGTGCCGTTGCGCAAGCCCATGATTGCCTTTGTTACGCTTTTAGCAAGACTTCGGCGCAAAACCCAGACAAAGTGTCAACTAGCCTAAAGGTGTCGGAAATTTCATGTCCGGAGCTTTGAATTCACGCATCTGCTGTGTGACCTACGAGTCTTGTCAGGATGACATCACTGTAGTCACAATACTGGCCCACAACAAAGCCGTGAAGCTTGAAACCCAAACGCTGAGAATTTGAACCCCATGGGGATCTTGCAAGATCTCGCGATACAGATCATCGCACGTTGGATGCTGTGTGTTCAGACTGTTGTGCTGGGTGTGCTTCGCAGGATGCAGGCTCTCCAAACCAGCTCAGCCGACGTTCTTCTGACGAGAACGGGCTATTGGGGTCAGTCCTCGTAAGGCTGAAGGTCTAGTTGTGCAGCCGACTACAAACAAAAAACTGTCCAGAAGATTACTACTGAGCGCTTCGGGAGATGTCATGCTTTGGAGCTTGATTGACAGTTGTCAGCATTTTCAAGCGAGCCTACGTCTCGTTGCAAACGGGTCACATGGTAACCATCGATGCAGAAGCCTCAGCTTGCTTCGAAACCCTTAAACCCCCTGACAGAGGGCCTAATCAAAGCCCCATTCTTCATTTACAAAGCCAGCACCGTCTGGCTTCTGCGCGGATCCAATGAAAAATATGCCGAAGCACAACAGAGAGTGAAACTTCTCGCCCAAGCCCGCCCTGACCAACCAACCCATCCGTCAATGTATGCACCTGCCGATTAAAACCAAGGTGGCGGGTGATCCACACGGGCCTGTTTTTATCCACAAGCAGCTGTCCGGCGGTGTAAGGAAATGATGCATGTTGTATCATTGTATATGATACCCAAGAAGAAAACAGTGGCTTTCCTCCACACATGTGGTGCACCCACTTTCGGTGGAAAACGTGCTGTTGCTGGTGGAAATCATGCAGATGCTTCTCCTTCCAAAATTCTTCGCCAACGTCAGGGCATTAGGGAAACACGTGCTGTTGCTGGAACAACAAATACGGGCAGAAAGTCTGACTTTCGGCATGCTCACAGGGACAGAATCTGGAGCACTAGAAATATTACAAACAACAGGCCTTGGCAGGGGGCCCGAAGGTTGGCCCTGCTGCTGCTTTGGCGAAAATCGGATCCAAGTCGTGGCGTTGTTTTCGTAGTGGTAGTGCCGCATGAGCATAGAGTTCCTGTGGCATTTGCCCAGACATGTCCTGCCAGTTAGTCTTGGTCGGCAAACCTTATTGAACCTTTAGATCTAGAAGCTAGTTTGCACTAGTCTCGCCACTTTTCGCGGCGGATACTGCGCACAATTTTAGCAGTGTGCATAACTGACTGCTTCTTGGCCAAGGAGATAATTCGGACTCGACACTCGACCAAAATGCTTGTATTCTGGAAGTGTCATCCTTCCGCCCCAGAACACAAAAGTCTTGATTCATTTGTACCCCACCCAAAGCCTCACGACTTGCAGCCTAATTGCCTTATGAGGTTTTATGCGGTATCCCCATGTGCACGACGATGCGAAAGCACGTCGAAGCACGTCTGTGCTGGGGCTTGGTAGCATGACACTAGGCTTAGTTGGGTTTGCATGTCGTCAGACAGCTGGCTGCCGAGCTTGACTTCGACACCCCCATGTGCATGTCGCTGCCTTATGACCTGTTGTGCGGTATCCCCGTGATCACGCCTGCGCGACACGACTTTACACAAGGCGGGACGACTTAACCCGAGCACTCGTACACAAACACACACACACACACACACACATACATCCACGCAGAAAAACAAACAGAAAGGCTGGCTGGCTGGCTGGCTGGCAGGCAGACAACAAACACACAAACAGATAGATAGCTAGGTAGGTAGGTAAGTAGATAGATTGCCACACGTGCACAGTACATGAACTTGTCGAGAGTTTAGTCATGCATACAGACATACATACATACATGCATGCATGCCTACCTGCAAAACTACGTACGCATGTGCGCGCACACACACACACACACACTTATAACATGCTTTGTTGACGACTTTTGGCACGACTTGTCTCACCGTGTTGGATAGAAAACAAACATATATGTAGCAGTTTCCTCGTGAACAATAGATGTCGTTTGCATCTGATTATCCGCTTGCGTTGTGTCGGGTTGTCGCCTGCAGAGCCTGGCCTCGAACCCAGGAAATCGGTTGCCATTAACGGACCCGACACCTGAGTCAGGTCTACACTATTTGGGACCTCTTGATTCGAGGCTGCTCCGGTTTGCCAGAGGCGAGTTTTCGCTCGGTCTGTGCCTGGCTTTTTGTTTGGCGGTCTAGCAACTGGGATTGAGGGTTCATTTCGAGGTACATACAAAGTTTTAAGACTCTTACACTCGTACAGGAGGTTTCCGGCTAAAGGTGTATTGTAGGGCTGTAGGGCATCCCGGCTGGGAAAGACGATAAAGCGTAGATTCAGGACGGACAAGTAAAATCACATCTCAAACATTCTCAAACCACGCAGATCAAAAGGCAGAAAGCCCAAACCAACTGCAAGGGGCAGTCTCCGACATCCACGGCTCCTTCCTTGCTGTCCCCGTTGGTTGGGCAGCTGTTGCGGCAGTCCTCATGGGGCTACCAGGTTTGCTGTTTAAGAGTAATGCCACGCAGTCACCGCGTTTTCACGCATGCAGCACGTTTTCGGTTTGATTCTAGCTTTAGGCCTCAGGATTAACCCTTTCACCTCGCGCATGGCAGTCGGGGCAGGGCTTCAGTGATTCAGGGATTGCAGCTGGCGCTTATGGTCAGACTGTGGCTTATATAAACAGAAAGTTAGCCAAGAAGTGGCTTGACGAAGCAACAAGATGCGCGCGCAGCCAGGGTAGATTTAAATGAACCCCAACCCGCTACGTTGGGTGCTTGCTGGCCTTCAGAGACTGCGACAACAGTTCGGAGATTACATGCAACGTTTGCCTGCCAAAACTGATGTATACATACGTATCCATATACACATACGTGTATACATACTGTGCCGAAGCAAATACACAACCTACAAACATCAATAGTTGTGTACATGTATATGTATATATACACACACACACACTTATATGCTTCTATAGTTGGCCGATGTACATGTCACTAGCTTTTCTTTTTAAGGGAACAACTATGAGTATAGATGTTGGCAGACTGTGCATGTAGTGAGTTAAGTCATCAAGTATACGCTCGCATGCACGTCTTTGTTCGTGCAAACAGCGTGGCACAAGCCCGCTTCTTCTACGATAGGCGTGAAGGTATTAGGTCAGTGATGATGCGAGGTATCGGGGGGTTCAGCTGTGCCATGCCTTCCCAGTCTTCGGGCTGACATGGATTTTCAACATCATAAGGGGTTCTGGAGATGTCGTGTAATTAAGCAAATATGAACTTAGCCGCGCCTCATCAAGGCATGTTACTCATATGACATATCAGTTCGACACCCGAACCGCAACTTCACGTTGAAACCAGAACTGCACGTTCGCACCTTCAACTACAACAATCCCAAGAATGTTTAGAATCCTCAGCCCGTTTAAGTTCCATATCCTTGACAGACCTTCAACCCTGCGACCATCCTGGTCTCCATCATTAGGCTTGTAGTAACCACCACGGCAAGGGATGCACCCTGCGACCTGAATTTGGCGGTCTAAAGTAGCAGTTGCATGGACTGGCGCTTGTTGAGGCCTTAGTGGGTTCCTGGGTTGTGCCGGGCCTGGGAATCAGCTCTTAATTCGGAGCAACTTTTGGAAATGTAGGGCAGATGAATAACCCATCGATAAGGGCTGGCAAAGGGTGCCAGTCTCAAGTTCAGGATGTAGGGCAAAAGACTGGGTCGTGCTGGGGCTGTCCCGTGCACATCGTGGCTTTGCTCGTTGGACAGAATACCCGCCCATGCTCTTTCAACAACCAATGTGAAGTGATCTTTTCGCTCAGCTGCGCACCCTCCCTCAAGGCCCTGAAGGGGCGCATCATGAATCCGCGGGCAGCCACGGAGTGTAGGAGAAAGCTCTGCCCTTGCGGGTTCGTTCTACATCCAAGAGTGGAAATGTCACGACGCGAACCTTGGTTTGTCTACGAATCAAGACTAACCTGACAACTGCCGGACGTGATTTGACGCACAGCCGCTTTGCCAGGAAGCTCGCAGCAGCTAGGGCATCGTCTGAATTAGCTCTGGGATCAATTACACCTGCAAAACCAGGTGTTCGTGCGGTGTTGCTGTGCTGTGGTGCCTGTGGCTGGGACGAAGCCAAGAAACTTGCTCTCTGAAAAAACCCGCGCTGCAAATGCAGTCGGCTTCGCTGCTGCCGCCGACATCGGCCGTTGCCGTCAAAGTGTTGTCCTCGGACACTTACCAAGCCAAGTCGGCGCAGGCATCTGTAGGCCACTCGCAAACTTCTTACCCCCAAAACTGTCTAAACAATCAGTACATCAAAGCAGTGAATCTGCACAGAAAAGCTTTCGGGATTGGGTCTTCTGGAGTCTCAACGTCAGACACCTCGAGGAATAACACTCCTGAGTTCAGGTCTAGACTGGGTCTAGACCATGGGACCCAAGGTCAATTTTGGACAGGAGGGGGGAACAGGAACATGGGCGGGGAACACAGCACGTGAGTCCTCTACTTAAACCGTTAGCTGCCTGACGATGTTTGATACAGGCATCGGCTTGATACGAGGACCGACTCCGGCTTCCAATCCTCACACTAATCGTGCCATCATGATGATGACGACGGCGGCGAGTGGCTTCATCATACCATGGTGCGTGTGTTTTGCTACTTATGTGTTATGAGATCTGAGACTTGAGCCTGGGGCCACGATTGTAGTGAATGTGGCTGATGCCTCGCAAACGCATGTAACGGACCCTCGTATATAACTGACGGATACAGTAGCCAGAGGTCGGCTGAATGCCAAAGTCGACTATGCGTATCAAAGGGCATCCCCGTTCGTATGATCATCTGATCCATAATCTATGCGATGGAGCCGGAAAACGTCCAAAACTGTGACCTGCAATGGTACTTCTGAAGAGCAGTCGTGCCTACTGTAGTCTCCTCTGCACCTCTCTATGCCCTGCATCAAACAACGCCAGCTTTGCCAGCGAGGCTCGGGGCAAGGGAACATTGCCCCCCCAGCTGAGATGCCTGGGCAGTAGTGGTCGCCTCAGATGATGTCTGTGTTTCGGAGCTCTGGGTTTGGCCTGGAAAAGCTTTCTGGGGCTGATTACTGGTCAACCGGTTGTCCAGTCAGATCCGGTTTCGTGAATTCAACTTCTCAGGCTTCATAAAGGCGTAAGGTTCGGACATGTTCGGACGGTACAAGCCTAAGGGACCCATTCACACAGCTATTGACTGAGCATTGAGGAGACTTGGTCCAGGCATCATGATGCCAGCTCTTGGATTGAAGCTCCTGTGCCTTCCAGGGTTTGCAGCTTTCGTTCGTTGGAATGCGGTTGCTGTTGTAGTCTTTGTAGGTCCCAGTCGGGCAAGCACTCAAACTTGCCAAGTGGAACCCGAAACGTGAAGCTGGCTGCTGCTGGAAGGTACGTTGGCACTGTGAGCAGCCTCCGTCTGCTGCGAAGCGGCCTGCCTCCAGACAAGCGGGCTTGGGATGGATCCCGTGCACTCAATGTATCGTGGGGCGATGGTGCAGAATGACAGGCACCGACCTCTCGTCCGCAATAGTTGGGAAGAAGCTCTCCAACCCTGGATGGTGTGTGGTGGTTGAGAAACCCTCCAACCCTCTCCCTGCGGTGATTTATGGTGCGCGAACTGCAGCATGCCAGAGAGAAGCGTTCACCTCCTCGCCAGCTGAATTTTTACCGACCTGCCTAGCTACTGTATACCGCCTCCATGTATGCACGCGCATGCGCGCGCACACATACACAAACACAAATGCAGAGAAACACATGTAAACCAATGCGCGACAACGTGCGAGGGCACATTGCATGCGCCTACTTCATAAGAACTACGAACTAACCCGACACCCAACCCCTCGGCTGCCTCACACTGACAAAGGCCCTCTGAAACCGCTCCCGTCTCCGCCGTGGACATCCACTGCGGACACTTCCTCGAGCTCGAGGCTTGAGGAGGTTTGCTTTATATAATTAGTGCCCAGAGTCTGGGTGCATGGGTTTGAATATCTGGCCACGGGTTCAAGATGCGAAACCCAGGTCCAGGGTAGACCCTAAATCCGGCGCAGGGCGTGTGTGCTCAAGTAGGCTCAAGTCAGTGCTTCATGCGAGAATTAGCATGACGGCGAACTCAAGAATCCTTCGAACCACCCAAACCTCCGAACCCGAGCCCAGGGCTCAAATCGTTGCTTCGGGTCGAGGCTCGTACACAGCACGTTGCCAACGGTCGCCTGCACAATGTGTGTACGTGAGCTCAGGCATCCAGGCTCGGGATTTTTTTTTTGGGGGGGGGCGGGGGCAGATGTGTGACTTTGGAACTTCGGTATTGCATTCCCAGCCTTTGAATGATTCAAGCA